GGGGAAGAAAAAATAGAGACATACCAAATCATTTGTCTCCTCTCGGATCTTGCTCTCCAGCTGTTCACGTGCAAAGTCCGGACGCTGGGCTCTGGAAGGTGAAGATAACCCCTGTCGTATGGGTTCTAACGCGTTGACGATCTCGGCGTGCCTCCGATGCAAATGCGCATTCAAGAAGGAGGCGTTTATGAAGGCCTTGGGACAATGGGGACACCGATGGTAGGCCTGAGGTCCAGCATCCATGAGCTGTTGTTGGGCCAGCAAAAGAAGCCGTCGTCGGTGACACTCTCTGCGGGTGCTTGTTAGCCTTTGCGTCTGAGCCTCGAAACGCTTTTTTAAGGCTTCGGATTCCTGGTGGTATACAACAAACTCACTTTGATAAAACCAGTCAGCACAAGTCGCGTTATACGAATTCATATATCATAGAAGCTGCGTTGATTTTTTTTACGAATAAATTTATATAACATTCATCTGCTTTGCTCTACTCTACACAAGTTTCCTATTAGATCAATTATGCCTTGACATCTGGAAGCCCCTGTTTCCCTTCTTTAAGTAATAGATACTCACACGAGCCGGACAGAACGTATCGATGCTAAGGATCACGCTGCCTCATCCTTTGATGCTTTCTCACTTTGGGTGCCGAAAAAGACCAACGAGTCCCTCCTTCTGAGGAACGTCCGTACAAAAGCACCATACTGTCCCCGTAAACTGTAAACGTATGTGTTTGGCGTACTTCATGTGGTGCGTCCAGCATCGTCTTTAGTCCAGTGGGAAAAAGTCTAATCTAAGGCAGAAAACACAGATTTTTGCCTCCTCAGAACTTTACATAGACGCGTACGGTTAGCTGGACTTTTGTCTAACAAGTCTCACTGGTAATATGGCGGAGCAGGCAAAAAGAAGCATCTGCATCGCTTCGATAATTTCGAGCTACTGACAACTATTTACTAACTTTCCGATAATTTCAACGTCCTTCCCCGTTTTTTGAAATGAAAAAGGCATCAACAACACCAACGTCACCAGATATCCAGCCTGTAATAACATTGTTGTCCGTTTATGGCCCTTAGGTAAGTTTTAACAGCTGTCACGATCCATGCCATGATGGAGATCGTGAATCTTAGCGATATAAATAAAAAATCCCCAATATTCTCCAAATTCTGGACGTAGCAAAATTGTCTACCCGCATAATCTTCTGGAATGGTTTAAACAGAAAACGCTAAATGAACAACGGCATAGATTTTCACGTTGAAAGATGTTACGAAGCCTTGCCTGTAGCCAACAGTTCTGTGTTACTTGCTCAGTCTGACGTTGAAATAAATGAAACAAAAAACCGAGAATTTATATTGTCCCATGTTGAAGGGCGGAGAAATATCTAATTCCGCCTTCGACATTTTTTACCTGCCAAGTCTAATAGTACATCCACTGAAAATCCGTCAGGAAGATAAGAAAGAGCCATAGCTTCTTCCAACATAACTAAGATGACTCAGTGTACATTTGGATTGATCGGATTTCAAGGACCCATTGAAGTAACCCAATAGCCTATAGAAATAGTCAGACTGAAACTGATGCCCTAACTCTCGTCCTCCTTACGATCGGAACTTTTCTAGATATCAATCCTGTTCTCTAGAACAAGTCCCAAGCTCACACGTTTAGTAGAAATGCGCCACTCAATCACTAGGTTAGGATTCAGTGCTTATATGATTTCCGTCTCGCATCCTTTATGTCCTTCAACTGTCCATCCAAAGTGGGATACTACCCTGTCATCTTATGTTACAAAATCTCTGCGCTTATCACCAAACTGTTAAAGGAGAGTCTTCCAGGGTTTACATGGCGCTAAAGGAAGACTAGGTGTGACTGGGAGTCCGCGGGCGTCCAGTTAAGTGTACACTGTACAGCTATGGTAGGTCGCATAATTTGCGTCGTGCAGGTAGTAGTTGCTCTGCATAGCTTTTATCTAGCATCCAACCATCATCTGAGGCGTCCTGAAAATTAGATCTGCCTAACGGCCACACACTGATACCTCTTTCGACTGGCGGGGGTAACCAGATGTTGTGTATCTACATCCCTTGTAATGCTGCTCCCCCTCCCACCCCTCGTTCTCTTTCGTGCACTTAAAACTTTCTAGCAAGAGGGCGACATGCAATCCCATAGTTGACCAGGAACAAACCGGATCGCTCTTCCGTCAAGCAAAACAGTGACCCTTAGTGGAGTTTGGCAGTTGTCTCGGATGCCTAAGCAGACCTATTTAGGGTAGCATTGCTAACTCCCGAGGGATAGGTGGGGCTAGAATAGGTGCGCTAAACAAATGCTGAGGTCACATCATTCACAAGCTGGTCGTGGCTAGTAAATGTAAGACTCATATTCAAAATGATCGAACAAATAACAACCGTCGCACCCACCCCGCCCGCCCCATCCCAAAAAATTATAGGATGACTGCTCATTCAGGCAGCCTGAAATGTGTGTTCCCTTATAGAAAGTTCGTGAAACAACCAGCTATTCGTTCGCGAACTGGTGTGTTACAAGTTGGCCACCGCTGCTTTTAGCGAGGCCCGATTCTTCAAACCGGATCAGCCAGAAGAGGTGAGTGCCGACTTCTGGTACGACCGTCTTAAGGCCAAGTGAGGCGATGTTAACGTCACCTTGGCCATCCGAAACGACATAGTGGGATGACTGTCCTGTCTGCCGTAGGACAGTAACGACCAGCGATCGAGTTGTCTTCTTCTCAATTACTTCCTGGGACTCGCATGTTCGCTTTTATTGGCAGTAACGACCGTCTCGTAATTCTGTATCTGCCTCATGGAGGAACCAAATGTGCCTACACTCCCCAATGAGCAGCTCCGACCGGGTGGGGAATATGCTCAACGAATATCTGCACTTTCTCCCAGCAAATGTGCCGGAAGCAGTCAAATTGATCGGTCTTGGTAACTTTGAGACAGATCACACCACCTGATAGAGGGAGCGTGCTTGCTCTC